GTGCGGTATCTTTGAGCAAAGGCGTTGAGGCTCGTGTGACTCGAGTTCTGAAGTTGTATTGGTTTGTTGAGCACCTTTAAGCTTAACAGAGTTAGTGTAACTCGAGAGAGTCTCTCGGAAGGCTGGATTAGCCACACGTTATGGTGAACCAGGATAAAATTCAGTGCTCCTTCCTTACGCTCTTTACTTTATTGCTCTCATTTTTAATTTCCTGTGTTTTTGTTTTAAACGCTATTCACCCCCCTCTAGCGTTGGGCCTATTTTCTAACATATATATTGTTGAAACACGGGCTTGCCACGTTTTCGTACTAAAGCCGTGTTCGTTTTTGTAACAGGTTTTGATAATGCCAAACCGCCGTGATCAAGATAAGACATTGAATATACAAGGCGAAGAACGAAGATAAGAGCAAGAGCTAAACGAAGACCAAGAGCGAAGACCTTAGTCATAGTATTGAGTCGGTCTTTATTTAGATCAAGACCGACCCAATCTTTACATTTTGGCTCTTTAGGCTAAAATCTCTCATTGCATTTCTTACATCATAAAAATGTTTTTCAAACTTGTTTAAGTCATTAAAAACACTTGGTGTTCGCCCAAACCAAAAACCAAGCCATCCAGTGTTCGGCTTTCAAAAACCAGTGTTCGGCTTTCGGTTGTCGGCTTTGGTTTTTGGCATCCGAACCAACCAAGTGGTTTTCAGCATTTTATGATCTTCTTTCACTCTTTGGCATGTTTAAACGGTTCTCCAACAAAAACACTTTGAAAACCATCTTTCGCTTTTAGTTGTTTGACAAAAACCACGCAAAACGGCGTAAACTTGGCTAGCCGTGGTTTTTACTCAAATGACGTGATTTTTAAAGTGTCTCACTTGATTTCTTATCCAAATACATCAAATAAGTGTTTTAAACAATTGGTTTTTATTTTGGAGAACTTTGGATTTTTTGGTCGGTTTTTGCATCGGTTGGCTAGGCCGTGGTTAAGGCAAAAACCATAGGTTTTTGGCTAACCACCCACCCAGTGATGGGAAGAACATCCCATCGATGGGTAAGCGGCCCCTTAGCCAAACCAACTTCCAGAACCATGCCAAACAGCAATGGGAGGTTCTACCCATCGCTGTTAAAGCCTTGGTCCAACATTATCACAAGGCAGAATGCCCTTACCCAGCGATGGGAAGCTTTATCCATCTATGGGAACCCAGCGATGGGAAGGCTTATCCATCGATGTGAAGTCATGACCGTTGTATGTCATATAAGGTTGATTCTTTCCATGTTTGGAAGTCAACCTCCCACCCAGCGATGGGAAGAATGTACCCATCGATGGGTAGGTGACCGTTGGCTTCAAAACTGAAGGAAAATTGGCCTACCAGCGATGGGTAAGGTCCATACATCGATGGGAAGCCAATATTCTGCAGATCCCAAATCTTTTCAATCCCATAAATCAAGCTAATCACCCCTTTAATGCATTGGTCCGTTGNAGCCTATTTTGGCACTATAAAAAGGGGTGTTTGGGTCTGCTTTTCTCATCAATTCACTTCACAATATTCATATCATCATTGCATTAAAACAACATCATTTTTCATAGCTTTCTAGAGCCAATTTGTGAAGTTTGAGTTGTTCTTGAGCGTATATAGTTTACTCAACATCTACTCTAAAAGAGAGCCTTGTTCTTGAGTGTCTTAGTGTTGTATACACGTCAAGGGAAGCTTGTTTCCCTTGGTTGTACAAAGGAAAGGTATTTTCCTTCGGGTTGAAGTCTTGGAGTGCGGTATCTCCGAGCAAGTGTTGTTGAGGCTCGTGGGACTCGAGTTCTCAGGTTGTAACGGTTTGTTAAGCACCCGTAAGCTTAACGAAAGTAGTGTAGCTCGAGAGAGTCTCTCGGGCGGCTGGATTAGCCAAAAGTTGTGGTGAACCAGGGTAAATCTTGGTGTGCTACCTTTACGCTTTCTACGCTCTTTATCTTTCACGTTCTTAATACTGCCATTGCTGGAAATACAGTGAGGAGTCATGGCAGAATGTACTCTGCAGATGGACTTCCATGTGGCTGAATCATAAAGCTTGGGGACAAAGGAACCATCTCTGGGGTATTTTTGTTGCATATAGGATCACCAAATGGTTCCTCCCTGCTGAACCTTCCACCAAAGATCCATTGCTGCTACCTTTTGACAGTGGTGGAGATTCCGCACCCCCAAACCACCCTCCTGCAATGGAAAACAAAGCTTCTCCCACTGTCTCCAGTGATACTTAAAACCCAGGTCCTTATCCTTAGCTCCCCAAAAGAAATTTGCCATCAATCTATGCAGACTTTTTATAATAGACTTTGGAACCTCCTGAGCTGCCAATATATGTAAAGGAATGGATGACAAAACATGTTTAATCAAAATCAGCCTTCCCATCTGGTTTAGCTTCCTACTATACCAAACATCAATCTTCCTCTCAAACTTTTGGATCAACCCCTGGCAATGAGTCTTCTTTAACTTACCTCTCACAATTGTAGAGCCAAGATAAGTAAATTCCTTGATAATACACCTGATCCCAAGAATGCTTCTGATTTTAACCTTGTACTCTTGCCTCATCTTATCATGCACAATCACATGGCTTTTGCTGAAATTTATCTCCTGTCCAGAAGCTAAACAGAAAGTGGAAAGAGCAGCTTTAAGTCTCAGTAGATTCCTGCAATCAGCCTTGGTGAAGATGACTATATCATCAGCATAGAGCAAATGACTAGGAGCCACTGTCCTTCCAGATGAGAACCTGCCAAGCTATCCATTGTGAGTGAGATAATTAATGTACCTGGAAAACCCCTCCATGGCTATAATAAACAAGAGAGGAGACAAAGGATCACCCTGCTTAACCCCACATTTCATGAAGAAAAAACCTTTGGGTTGACCATTAATCAAAACAGAGAAAAAAGTTGACCTCAAATTCCCCATAAGAAGATGGATCACTCTCTGGAAGAAACCAAATTTAAGAAGTACTTGCTCTAAATAAGCCCAGGAGATTTTGTCAAAAGCTTTAGATAAGTCCAACTTCACCATACAGTTCCCACCTCTAGCATTAAAAGACAGCAAATGCATCATCTCCTTAACTATAAGCACATGCTCGTTTATACCCTTCCCTTGTTGGAAAGCAACCTGCTCTGGAGAGATCAACAAGGGGAGAATGTTCTTCAGCCTATCACTCAAAATCCTAGAAAGGATTTTACTGAAAAAAGTGGATAAAGAAATAGGCCTAAACTGATCTAGAGTAATAGCACCCTCCATTTTTGGAATAAGTGTGATCAAAGTGCTGCCAAAAACCCTAGGTAAAGGAATACCCAGAAAAAACTCCTGCACACCTTTACAAACATCCACTTTAATCACATCCCAAGCATGTCTGAAGAAAAATCCATTGTACCCATCTGCACCAGCTGCGCTATTAGCATTTAAAGCCCAGACAGTTTTTCTGATTTCTTCTTCTTCTGGCAGAGCTCCAAGCATATAATTATCCTGGAGAGACAATATGGAAGGGATATGGCAAAGGATCTCCCCCATATCCCCCTCATGAACATGAGAGAAAACCCTACTGAAATGATCAACTGCTTCATTGGCAATCTCCTCCTGAGAAGAAATCAAAGCCCCAGCAGCAGTCTTAAGAGAGGAAATATAAAGCCTATGCCTTCTTCCCCTAACAAAAGAGTGGAAAAATACAGTAGAAGCGTCTCCTTGAGAAATCCACTTAATATTAGCCTTTTGAGACCAAAAAGACTCCTCTTTCTTATGAGCAAGCTGCAGAAGAGCCTTAGCCATGTTACACTCAACAACATTCTCCTCAGTGTCATCATTTTCCAGGTTTTGCTCAGCTCTAAACGCCCTCTCCTCTGCCTTTGAAACCTCCTCAAAGATATTCCCAAAGACATCCTTAATCCATTGAAGGAGAGCCCTCTTAAGCTCAGCCAGCTTAATGGCTAAACCTCTCATTCCACCTCCTTTATAGCCTTGTCCCCATGAAGAGGAAACAATGCCCATAAAAGAATTATGGGAGCACCAAACATTAAGAAACCAAAATGGTTTAGGACCCACAATTTGATTAGAGCAAAATTTTAAAAGGATCGGCCTGTGATCAGACATACCACGCCCAAGATGTCTAACCTCAAGGACTGGAAATACTTCCATGCATTCCTCATTTAGAAGGATTCTGTCAAGCCTTCTATAAACTCTCCCTTTTCTCCGTTTACCTGCCCAAGTAAACTTACTGCCCAGGAAAGGGGGAGACACCAATTCACAATCAGAAATAGTTTGAGCGAAATCTCCAATACTTCCAATATCTGGACATACCTCTCCCTTATGTTCCATGAGAGAAGCAACCGTGTTAAAGTCACCCCCAACAATCCAAGGGCCAGACCTAGGAAAGAGAGATCTGAGAGAACCCCAAAGCTCCTCTCTATCCTTTCTACAACAAAGCCCATAAACACTGGATATCCATAAAAGAGAAGGGGAGCCAGCATGCTTAAAACCAAACGTAATGATTTGAGTCTCCTCAATAACACTATGAAGAGATAAACAGTCATCCTTCCAGAAAAACCAAAGCTTGTTATGAAGAGCATGGAAACCCTTGGAGAAACCCAACTTAAGTTTAAACCAATCCAGTTTGTCCGGCTCCACCAAAGGCTCCATAACAGATAAAAAGGTCAAATTGTAAGTCTTAATAAGATAAATAAGATGGGAGAGAGAAGAATGTACACCACGGATGTTCCAAAAGAGACCAATCATGGGGAAGAGAGAATAGAAAATCTATTTGATGCCATTCTGCGAGTTACCATCGCATGGTGTCTTACCTGCGCCTTAGATTTTTTAGAAGAGGGGGCCCTATCCAGACAAGGTCTCTTAGAACCTTCAGGAGAAGACAAGGCACGATATACCTCATCAATGGAGGAACCATCTGCAAAGAAACCCACCTCAGCAGCATCATCTTCAGGGATTGCAAGAGAATCCACAAAAGGAACAATAGCCAAGCTATCATCTCTAACATCTAGTGGGGGATCATCAACAACCAACGATGAAGGCAAAGAAGACAAACTCCCATGTAAATGAGTCATATTAAAAGCAGCCAATAAGTTGGAGTTTATAACAAAAGTCCCAGATTGGAGCTTTGCAGGAATATCAGGCCCGTCACGTTGTTGTTCTCCCCGGCTAGAGTTTTCACCAAGGCCCTCACACCACGGAACCACTTCCATGGAAACCTGGCGATCCTTCACTTTCCAGACCCTTGTTGGCTTTTTGTCCTTACCCTTCTTACGAGTAACCACCTGCCATGCATTAGGTTTCATCATCTAAGGCTTAGGATGTTGCTCCTCCTTCTGGGGACGTTCCAAAGGGCACAAACCCTTATGATGGCCAATATGCCTACAAACCATGCAATAGGAAGGCACATTTTCATAATAAAAATTAATGACCAGCTCCTCCTCATCATGTTTGCCGTGGATTTTCCCAGGAGGAAGGTTAGTGATATCAACCTCCACACAACATCGCGCAAGCTGAGGCCTTGAGAAATTTAGAGTACAAGAATCAACCTGTAGGGGGTGACCAATAGAAGAAGCAAGAAGATGCAAGGCTCTTTTGTCATGCAAATGGATGGGCAGATTTGGGAAAGCAATCCAGATGGGGAGAACCGAACTTTCAATCCCCTGAGAAAGGGTTGGACTCCATTTAGAAAGGGCCATAGTGCTCCCAAAGACCCTCCAAACTCGTCTCAAAAAGAGGCGAATATAATCCTCTTCCTTCTGAAAATTCAAGAGAAAAGACTTGCTCGATAGTATGGCAATATCGAACGCACCAAGTAGACCAAGCTTCTGCATGAAGGATTGCATGACGGAGAAAGATGGGCGTGAGTGAAACTTCGCCACCAAAGCATGCTTGAAACGATAAGATAGTTCTGAAATATCATTCTTTGTGAACGTAACAGTGGGAACACCGTCATGATAGCCCGTAATCTTCCCTTCCAAACCCTTAGCCGACGTGCCATTAGCAACTACATCAGAGAAAAGCCTGGAAAGCCCTCCTCTAGATGCAGCTGCTGCAGATTCCGGCGTGAGCGACGCCGGAGAAGAAAGCTCACGCTCGCCGCTAGGGTTTTCCAACAATACATACATACATACATACATACATACATACATACATACATACATAGATATATATATATATATATATATATATATATATAGGATTGACTCGAGTCAGATGACACCTTATGATAAGGAGACATGTTACGGTTAGATGCCACAAAGAGCACCACTGATCACCACAAAGCTCACCAAGGACATCTGCGAAGCTCACCAAACTGTATGGAAAAGCTCACCAAAATTTTTTCACACTTTGAATTTTTAAAATTTTAAAGTTTAAATCCTTACAAACCCTAACCAAAAAGCTCACTATTCTTCAATGCAAAGCTCACCGAAACATACACACAAAGCTCCCCAAATTTTGAGGTTGAAAAATTGAAAAAAAATCAACGGGTGACTTCCACCACCATTGACCGGTGATTGGCGGCGGCGATCAGCGGTCAAATTCAGTAGTCGACATGGGTCAAAGTCAGCACCTCTCTTTTTTCAAAAAAAAAATTCTAAGTGTGAAAAATAATTGGTGAGCTTTGCAGTTGGTCTAGGTGAGCTTTACAGTTGGCAATGGTGAGCTTTGCGTCATCTAATCGTAGCATGTCATCTTACCATAAAGTGTCATCTTACTAGAGTCGATCCGACTCCAGTGAGATGACACATTATGGTGAGATTACATGCTTCGGTGAGATGACGCAAAGCTCACCACACTACACTACAAAGCTCACCAATGGACAATGCAAAGCTCACCTAGAAATAAAATAAAGCTCATCACTTTGAACACCAAAACTCACCTTTTTTTTAATTTTAAATATTTAGAATTAATAAAAAATAAAATAGAAACACGGGTCAACAACCGGTCAGCGGCGGCGGTTGCCGGCGACCAGCGGCAGGGCGGCGGCCGGTGGTGGCGGCAGATTCCGGCGACGGCGGCGGTTTCTGGCGAACGGCGGCGGCTGGTGGCGTATTCCGGCGACCGAAGGTGGCAGCAGATTCCGGCGGCCAGCGGACAAGGGAGGATTCTGGTGGCCAGCGGCAAGCGGCGGTGGATCGGCGACCTGTGGCGGCGGCAGATTCCAGCGACCGGCAGTGTCCGGCGGCGGTCAAAGGTCTCGGTCAACGGTTAAGGTCCAGCACCCTTTTCTTTGATTTTATTTTTTCAAAAAAAATTCAAAGTGTTGAAAACATATGATGAACTTTGCCTTACAATTTGGTGAGCTTTGTAGTTGTCCTTGGTGAGCTTTGCAGTTGGTAGTGGTGAGCTTTGCGTCATCTGACCGTAGGATGTCATCTCACCGTAAGGTGTCATCTCACTAGAGTCAATCCCTCTATATATATATATATATATATATATATATATATATATTTGGATAGAAGAAAAATATTATCAAAACTGATGCATCCCAATAATAGCCTCTTACAAAGATAATTTCCCAAAAAAAAAGAGAGACCCGGAGAGGCGAAGACATATCGCTCTCTTCACGGGGTGTCAAGGAAAAACATGGGGAAATCCAAAATCTCAAAAGTAAAATATCACATGACAAATCATTATTTCACAAACAAAAACGGGAATTAGAATCACTCAAGAAAACGGAAAACTTAGAAAATTTTGATGTCCACGGCAGACACACCTTTTCTCACACCAAAAAACAAAACCTTCTTCTGCATCTGAGTCTTTAAACATTCAGGCAACTAAGTCCAGAAATGCTCTCTGCAATATTCTCGAACAATGACAGGAACGCTTGTTGGGGGGATCATTCCATAATCAGTGATTATCATTGAAACATAATCTGCCGGTCTTGCATCGTAGATTAGATTTAGAAGCTGCAGATTTTCATAACTAGCCCAATCTTGGAGATCGCCATCCCTCTCACCAGGAACTTTTGCTATTGCTTCTGGATCACCGAGTTCATTAGAGCAAATTGAGTCAAGTTGAACCCTCTCTTGAAACTTATAAGCTTCACAGCATGCCAGGACCGGGAACACGAAATTGATGAGCAACCATAGCAACACATGATGTGCCAACCCTCGAGTAAACCGTTCCATTAGACAAAATTGATGCAGCACCCAAAAACACTCTGGTGGCTTCATGTTACATAAGAAACAACATTTATATGTGTATACGTACAATTGATTCCCTTTGCCACTAATCTACGAATCAATAGTTTCCCTTCAAGTTTCGGACGTGAATCCACTACTATGACACGGAAAGCCTTGCCAAGCTCATGAGCATGTAAAAATATCATTTCAACTGGAAAATAGCAGGATGGACTGGATCAAGTTGGAAGAACTTTGATTCAAGCTCGGGAAGCCGTGTTCCATGTTCATACCGAGGCAGATGTCTGAATAGTTCAACCCTATTCCTTGCTTCAGTTTGTTTCACTACCGAGCGCTTCTTTGCTTTTTCCACACGGCTCTTATCATCAAACTGCATGCGTGGATGGGGCGCATCTTTTTTCCTATCTTTATCAGCCGGACGATCAGTGCCTCTTTTTTCAGAAGCTCCAACTGGGGAGCTGTCTTTCCTTTGTGCATGACCCTTAGAAGCCTTTCCTGCATTTGCACTTGCAGAAGTAGCTTCCCCTGAAGCAGCAGCAGTTCCCTTACTTGTATAGGCCTTAGATGCAGCTTTTGCAGCGCGTTGAGCCTCCTGAAGGGCAAGCCTTTCAGCCTTGGTGGTTTTCTCTTTCAATGGTTTAGAACCCGTTGCTTGCTCTCTCTGTGCTGCAGCAGATAATCGCCCATCTTTCTCAGTTACGTCATGAGGTTCGTTCACAATGGAAACTGTGGTTAATCCAGCTGCGGGAAAGCTGTTCTGCTTGGAACCCGTCATGTAGAATCCACCAATAGGGAGGGAAGTAGCAAATTTCCCAGAGTCTCCCTTGCGAGCTCGACTAGAAGAGTGGATGCCCTCCGTGAAGTCGGAGGCAGTGGGGGAGGTAAACTCAGATGGATTGTAACTGCCGACTGGGAGGGAGTCGCGGCGGAGCGGGGAAGGCGAAGCAGGTGGGAAGTGAGAGACCACGCGAGAGAGGTCGGCCGAAAGGTGCCGCGGAGGCGGAATCATGACCGGAGAGAGGGAATTGCTGGATGGAAAGAGATCGGACACGGGGGGAGACGCCGGATCCGGGGGACCCGATTCAGAACGTTCCGGCGGGGCTCCGGGGGCGAAGAACCCGACTTGCCTGACCTTAGGGTCGCTCACGGCCCGAGAAACACGGCGAGAGTCCATTCGGATGGTCGGGGGAACGCGGCTATGCAATTGGAGGAGCTAAAGGTTGGAGTGAAATAGGAGGCGAGAGTCGATAAAACGCGAGCGAATGGAGATTTAGAGGCGGAGGGAGCACCTAGGGTTTAGGCCTTGAGGAGAAGGATGAGGAAGATTGGGACGACGGAGTATATATATATATATATATATATATATATATATATATATATATATATATATATATATATATATATATATATATATATATATATATATATATATATATATATATATATATATATTTATGGGTGTATTCCACCCATGACCGCTCAAATGGAGAAAACCAAATAGTTGACCGGTCAATCAGAAAGTACAGGAAAGGAAGACTTTAATCGTCAGCCGGAGGACACTCAATCGGTCAAAAGAAGACCGGTATACTTCAGAAAAAGTATACCGGTCAAACTACTTCATCACCTCATTCATTCCTTAAATGCGATGAACTTGCCCCTAGGAAACTACCCAGTGTAGTTTCCAGGGTTAGAAAGCGTCGGCAGAAGGGAATCTAAAAGGGTTTGGACTATAGCGACCCATATCAGTGGAGGATCGCTGGAGATACTCGAACATTCCATCCAAGGCACTACCTGACAAAGGAGGTAATCTCCCACACAAGATGACAAGGCAGCTAGAGGACGAAGCCCATCACCTCTCACCATCCGAGAACGTGCCTCCACATGGGTGCACGACGTCCTGTTCCCCCCTAAACCAGGTATAAATACTGCTATAAACCTCAGAGAGAGGGATCCGAATTCATTCTCTCTAAACTCCCTTGTAAAAGCACCCGTGCATTCTCTCATATTATTATCAATTAGGCTACAGGTGTTTCCACCTATAGCTTTACGAGTCATTTTGCCTGTTTTCACCTCCTTACTTTATCGAATCAAGTAAACGATTCTAGACCCGGTCTAGTAGAGTTTACCTGGTTAGGTAATTTACACCATCATTTTTGGCGCCATCCGTGGGACCGTTAACGTTTCTTCTCATCTAAACACAAACCTACCCACAAAAACACCACTCAAGATGTCTTCAAGCCAGCAAATCAACGCTACTTCTGCTCAGGTGCAAGCCACCACTGAGGGTGCGAGCATCCCCTTGGTTGCTACCCTACCGGCTATTTTAACCCCGGTGCTGCCGTTGGGTCTAAGCTCAGTCCCAACACCCAGCGTCGTCAGCCCGTTCACGATCCCCGTCCCTTCCGCTGGACCAAGGGTCACGTTCCACCAAGCATGACTCAGTTCATGAACGGTCCGGCCAACCTGCAGGCCATCCAAGGGTTTGGCCAGGTCATGGCCATGTGCCAACAAAATGGGGGGATGCCATTCCTCCCTAGCATGTTTCCATTCGCCCTCCCAGGTGCTGGAACGATGCCTCTTCAAACTCCAATGGCGATGTCGCTGTTCCAGACACCATGGCCACAGCCTTCGCCTTTCCAGCCACAGGTGGTCAGTGCTGTGGCCCCTGTCAATTTGACCGGTGGACTCAACGCCGCCGGTCCATCGCGCCTTCCACTGAGCGCCCATCCCCAAACAACTCCAGAGGGTCATTGCATCTCTGTGGAAAGTGGTGATGAAGAGTGGGATGTCCCCAGAGCCCACAAGAAGAAGAAAGGAAAAGCCATCCGGCCAGCAGTTTCCCGAAACTCCGCCTTCGAAAGGTTGGGGGATAGAGAAGAAGGTCAGAGAAAGTCAGCCAAGCTGAGGCTGGGGCAAAGCGTTGCCCATGCCAGTGCGTTCGCCCGGTTAGGCGAGGGGAGGGAGGCCGAGCCTACCCGTACCCAGCGCTCCCGGTCGAACCGGCAGGAGGTCGTGAGGACGAGGGTCTCCCGTCAAGAAGAGGAAGCTGAGAGCCAGCCTAGGGGACCGGTGGCTAACCGGCTGACTGTCCCAAATGATCGCGTCCAACAGATGGAGGCAAAACTAGAGAGGCTGGAGAAAAGAGTAGGGGAAAAGAATGACCGGGACAAACCCCTCGCTGGGTCCCCGTTCACTACAAGGGTTCATCTGACACCTTTCCCGCGAAAGGTCAAGATAGATGCCCCAAGATTCACCAGGAAGGAAGACCCAGAAATCCATCTAGACTCATTCAACCAGAGTGCAACCATGAACGGTTGCACAGACGAAGAAAAGTGCCTCCTTTTCTTCCGAACCTTGCGGAACCGGGCTACTGAATGGTTCAATAAGCTTCGTCCAGGAAGCATTGATTCATTTAGTGACTTGGCCTCAAAATTCAAGGCCAAGTTCTAGGAGAATTGTACTAATAGGAAGAAATTCACCTATCTTAGTACAGCCGGGCAGAGGGAATCTGAGAACCTCACTCAATTCCTTACCCGGTGGAAAGAAGAGGTAGACAAGGTAGAAGAGATGGACGACAAGATGGTGTTGTCCCTTCTCTTGAATGGCTTACGTGCCAGGGAACTATACAAGGAGTTCTGCCGAAAGCCCCCGGCCACGTATCAAGAAGCCTATCACACTGCATGGGAGTTTGCTGAGGCTGAAACCCAACTTCGGGCGAAGAAGGAAGCTGAGCATGGTTTCAAGCCTAAGCCGGTGCAAGTCAAGAAGGAGGAAGCACCGGGACCTAGCCGGCCAAGGCATCACTATGACCCGGTCGTCCGCATGGTCAACACAGAAGAATCCCAAGAGATAAGGAAAGCACCGGTCAATCCTCCGGAAAACCCTACCGTTCAACTAGGACGACAATGGTCGGGCACATATTGTTCGTTCCATAAGTCAGATTCCCATAACACTTCCGAGTGCAAGAGCGTTAAGGGAGTCATCCGGAAAATGATAGACAGCGGAGAACTGGGCAAAGATTATTTGCAAAAAGCCCAGGAGAAGAGCAATGGGTCAGGCCTGCAGCCCAGGGAAATGACCGGGACAATGACCGGCGGAAGAATAACCGGTAGAGGGAGCAGCAACCTGCCCCTGACAAAGAGCACATTGGAATGATCTTCGGCAGACCTGAAGGTGGGGATTCAGCCGCGCAACGGAAGAATTGGGTCCGCAGCATTTACGTTGGTGAAGTAAGTGCTGAACCGGCCAGGCGTAAGCAGACCAGTGAAGATCATAATGATCCTTTGGTTATCACCATGGACATTAATGGGGTGGATGTTGCCCGGGTATTAGTTGACACCGGTAGTAGTGTCAACATTCTGTACTTGGAAACTTTCCAAAAACTCATGTTGTGTCGGACACAACTTGAACCCTCAAAACCCCTCTCTCAGGCTTCACGAGAGATACAGTGGAAGCTGAGGGATCCATAGTTCTACCGGTCAAATTAGGATCGGGTGAAAAAAACCGTATGGAAGAAGATGCAGTTCATCGTTGTGGACATCAAATGCGTCCATAACGCAATCCTTGGAAGGCCGAGCATCAATAAAGTCAGGGCGGTGATTTCCATGCCTCACCTGTGCATGAAGTTTCACACTCCATGCGGTGTAGGTGAGGTAAAAGGCGACCAGAGGAACGCCCGGGAGTGCTATGCCCGGGCAGTCAAGAAGATGACCAAGGGGGTCAATGTCATCTCCCAAAAATCACAAAGGGAGAGACCCGGGAGAAACTTGAGCCCGAGGCCGATACGGTGGAGATCGAACTTCACCTGGGTGATTCTTCAAGGATGGTCAGAATTGGAGCAAATCTCCCAGAAGATCTCAAGGCGGAGATTACACGGGTCCTCCAAGAGTACGCGGGCATATTTGCGTGGAGCGTGGCAGATATGCCTGGAATTGACCGCTCAATCATCTACCACCGGTTGGCAGTGAGGGACGGAAGTCGACCGGTACGCCAGAAGAAGAGGTACCTAGCCAGTGACCGGCGAGACTTCGTCACGAAGGAGGTAAAGCACCTCCTCAGTGTTGGTCATGTTGTATTTAGGTGCCCTAGCGGCAATCAAATACCTATGTAACTGTACACTTTATCATGAATGAAAGGCCTTGAAGTATGTTTTATATCTCGTGTAACATAACATAGCTTCAGTCCATAGACGATAGCGCTTCAGTAACATAGATGAGGACTACGATGTTCTGATTATGAGACTGTTACTTCTTGACGAAGGCTATGTCTAGAATATCCCTAGTCGCACTTTATGATAATACGGACGTCATAACGTATCAAGACTAGTACGTACGAGATGAGATAGTTGCGTCTCATAGACTATAGTTATTGTGATATCTTAATCTGTACGTAGGTGCATATTATATCGATAATATGTGACTGGATTGACCCATCTTGAGAATACTGCATGGATCTACAGTAATGTGTTTATCAGTATTCTCAAATCGACCTTGCTATAACTATCCTTAGACTTGAAGTTATTACATTCTCTGATATGTGGGGCCGTATGCTTTGATTCATAACTAATGCTATCTGAAATACTGGTAGACGTACAGTTATGCGTTGGGTATGCCACTAAGCATATTTAGAGATGTGAATAACAGAGATACAAGATCTGTCCCTTCTACTGTATAGAAGTATAATGTCAATGGGCCCACTGAATAGTAGGACTTGGGAAAGTGCATGGCCATGCCCAGATATGTCGCTATCTAGAGACTGATAAATATCTGATCCCTGCGAGTCTACTTGAGATTCAGTAACAGCTGATTTAACTATACAAGGATATACATCCCATGCCTTGTGTTAAATCATGACATTTAGGACAGAAGGATAATAGTTATAGAATGTCTTGTGTCGTAGAAGGTATTGATGAGATGAACGTCTTTTTCATAATCTGGGGGTAATAATGTGTTGCTAGATACCGCTTATTATCTATGGTATTAATTTTATTAATATCATTGCCAGTGTTATGGATACCTAAAGGGTCACACACTTAGGACTTGTAAGGGAGTAGTATACTACACTAGTGGGAGTAATATTAAATATATCGCTGTGATAATTTTATATATATATGTATTTCGAAAATACATATGTACTTTAAAATTATATTTTGTTTGTGTCATTTTAATTATATGATAATTATATTTTGACAAAACAAATTTTATTATATATATATATGTAGCGCCGATATATATACATACATACATACATACATA